TATCACTGCTGCATTTTTGTAGACCTGGGATAAAATCATGCAAACAAGAAACTGCTCCTATAGACTTATACTTCATTTGGAACTTTTTTTTCTTGTAATATATATTTTATTGATTTTTTAAAACATAAATCACTTAATAATTGGTGAACAGTGGATTTACCTTTGTTAAACAATCACTAACAATTGATTTCTATAATCCATAATCCACATAATGTTTTAGTTGATGTCCTCTTTTGCAAACATTGAGTTAATACAATTCTTATTGTTTTGATAGATAATTAAATATATAATTTTCCCCAATATTCATAAAAGTAATAATCACATCAATGTAATATTTCCTGTTATAGTCCTTATTTAAATTTGTTTCTCCCACAAAATTCAAAGTATTCTTACTGGTTAAGATTTTCTCAAAAATGAATTACATTTGAAATTTTTAAGTCTATTTTTTCCATATGAACCATCTCAGCACTTTTACATTTCTTAAGGAATAACTAAAACAGTAAAAAAAGAAAGGAAAGGAAGAGTAAAGAAACATAAAAAAATAACATACTACTTAAAATCAGTGCTTTTCTTCTAAAAAAAAAAAAAAAAAAAAAAGGTGCCGGAACTCACACAAGTCATACAACTCGCCTTGCCTACCCTATAGGGTTCCATCCAAAAAAGGTGCCAGAACTCCGTTCTGGGCGTTCTATGAGAAAAAAAGCCCTGCTTAGAATATATATCCCTCCTAAGCTAATATATACAGTATTTGTTTCCAAGATTTTTATTCTTTTTAACCATTAATTAAAAATATGTTTGATCTTCAAATATTCCATTTAATACATCTAATCTTCTAGTCCTTTAACTCTTACTCAAAACATTTTTTATCCATTATAATTTTCTTAAATTCAATCGCATTTAAATATCTAAAACATTTTCCTTTTTCTAAGCCATTTCAACTTTTTTATATTACTCATATCAAGAAAGAGATTAAAAGGGGAAAAAAGAATACTATATTATTTAAGGGATTCATCCCTATTAGAATGATATATATATAATCCAAAACTTTTCTTTTTCTTTAACCATATTCAAACAAATGTTTCTTTTTTAAGTATTCTCTCTGGTAGGTCCCATCATCTATTTTCTTGATTTCCACTTTAATCTTTTTCCTTTGCCCAGTATCTTTCTTGATCAATGTGTTTTGCTGAGTCGAAAGGTTTTTCCATAAGTTCAGTATAAAAAGTAAATCAGATGAAGTGTCTTTGTACGGGGCTCCTGCCTTTCCATGTTTGTTGAAAATGTTTTTCTTTTTCTTTCTCTCCACTTATCATTTCCTTTCTCTCTGATGGTCCTGACATCTCTATAGTATATTGTATCCATTTTTCTTGTCTTCAGATTTATTTTGTAGTCTTAAGGGATAAGTTGTTTTTTCCAATTTTTGTGAATTTTTTTCCACTAGGATTAAATCATGTTTCCTTGTTTTTTTAAGTTCCATCTTTAAGTCTCTATTCTCAATTTTGTATCCACTTATCTGTTTTATCTGCTCCTTCTCTGTTGTATTCTGGGAATTTTTTTGTTGTAGAGTTAACTTGGAAATAGGTTGATTTATATTTTCAAAGTTATTTTGAATTTATGGTTTAAAATCATTGTTGTTTGAATTAGTTGCAGTATAGTATATATCTCCTCCTGTGGAGTATTTTTGTTCTCTTGATATGTTCGTTCTACATGTCTCTAATGCATGATAACCAAGAATTTGAGTTTTTCTCTTCTTTTCTTTTCTCTACAAATAGCTTTAGAGTCTAAATAGATATCTGTAATCCAAATAGTTCAAAAAAGATTTTTTTGGGAAATTTATAATTCTGTCTACAGCCCAGATTATTGTCTTTTTTTGTTACAGCTGTTCTTTGTTGTTAAAGCTTTGAAGGTCACAAATACAGATTAGCTTTTCCCAGGTTTTGCCAAGTCTTATATGAAAGTCATAGCTGTCATAATCTTCATCTACCAGCATCTATTTGTTTTTCAATTTCCAAAATGAACAATTGTCTTTAGAATGAGAGTCTTAACCATTCAACAATTTTAGATTTATTCAAATTTAAGTTTTAAACTTCAGGTTTATATTTATTTCATTTCCATATATTTTGATCCTTCATAAAAAGATTAATTCTCCGCTTTCATTAATATAAGGGTAGGTCGGAAATCCCCTTCCTTCCCTTTCGGAGGTATTTTGCTTCTTGGAAATCTTTTCCAGGAAATTAAATATAGAATAGAAAAGATCAAATTCCTCACCCAGTTTCAAACACGCTGTTCACAGTTGTACTAATTAGTACTTTTGGACTTCGGTTGCAAGTAGCTTGGGGTGGTCGATGAAGTACGGCCAGCCTTTCTCCTGTCAGGTTAGAAGGCTTTCCCCAAGTCAAACAGAACAACTGCCACTGTTCCAGAGTTGCTGGGGCACCCTTCTTTCTTTGCCACCTCTCCGGGGCGACTTAGACCCATTTAGGGCGAAATTAGCTGCAGGTTCATTTGGAACTTTAAAGGTATTACAAATGTTGTCCCTTGGGGAAACCATCAATTCAAAATCTTTTAATAGTAGATTTCAAGTGGCACTATTTTGTTATGGAAAAAAACACTTTTCCATTACAGGTAAGCCTCAACTTATAACAATTCATTTAGTGACCATTCAAAGTTACAACAGCATTGAAAAAAGTGACTTATGACTGTTATTGTTGCAACCTTTGCAGCATCCGCTGCGTGTGATCAAAATTCAGATGCTTGGAACTGGTTCATACTTATGGCCATTGCAGCATCCTGGGGTCAGGTTTGCAACTTTCTGACAAGCAAAGTCAATGGGGAAACCAGAATCACTTAACAACCAGGCTACTAACATCAACTGCAGTGATTTACTTAACTGTGGCAAGAAATGTAAAATAAGGCACAATTCACTTAACAAATGTTTCACTTAACAGAACTTTTGGGCTCAATTGTGGTCATACATTGAGGACTACCTGTACATGCATGCTACAGTGAGGGGAAAAAATATTTGATCCCTGATTTTGTACGTTTGCCCACTGACAAAGAAATGATCAGTCTATAATTTTAATGGTAGGTTTATTTTAATAGTGAGAGACAGAATAACAAAAACAAAATCCAGAAAAACACATTTCAAATAAGTTATAAGTTGCTTTGGATTTTAATGAGTGAAATAAGTATTTGATCCCCAGCAAAATTTCTGACTCCCAGATGTCTTTTATACAGGTAACGAGTGAGATTAGGAGCACTCTCTTAAAGGGAGTGCTCCTAATCTCAGCTTGTTACCTGTATAAAAAACATCTGTCCACAGAAGCAATCAATCAATCAGATTCCAAACTCTCCACCATGGCCAAGACCAAAGAGCTGTCCAAGGATGTCAGGGACAAGATTGTAGACCTACACAGTGCTGGAATGGGCTACAAGACTATCGCCAAGCAGCTTGGTGAGAAGGTGACAGTTGGTGCAATTATTTGCAAATGGAAGAAACACAAAATAACTGTCAATCTCCCTTGGTCTGAGGCTCCATGCAAGATCTCACCTTATGGACTTTCAATGGTCATGAGAACAGGGAAGAATCAGCCCAGAACTACATGGGAGGATCTTGTCAATAATCTCAAGGCAGCTGGGACCTTAATCACCCAGAAAACAATTGGTAACATACTACACCATGAAGGACTGAAATGCTGCAGCGCCCACAAGATCCCCCTGCTCAAGAAAGCACATGTACAGGCCTGTCTGAAGTTTGCCAATGAACATCTGAATGATTCAGAGAACTGGGTGAAAGTGTTATGGTCACATGAGACAAAAATCGAGCTCTTTGGCATCAACTCAACTCACTGTGTTTGGAGAAGAAATGCTGCCTGTGACCCAAAGAACACCATCCCCACCATCAAACATGAAGGTGGAAACATTATGCTTTGGGGTTGTTTTTCTGCTAAGGGGAGAGGACAACTTCATTGCATCAAACAAACGATGGACAGGGCCATGTACCGTCAAATCTTGGGTGAGAACCTCCTTCCCTCAGTCAGGACATTGAAAATGGTTTGTGGATTCCAGTATTCCAGTATGGCAATGACCCAAAACACACGGCCAAGGCAACAAAAGAGTGGCTCAAGAAGAAGCACATTAAGGTCCTGGAATGGCCTAGCCAATCTCCAGACTTTAATCCCATAGAAAATCTGTGGAGGGACCTGAAGGTTTGAGCTGCCAAATGTCATCCTTGAGACCTTAATGACTTGGAGAGGATCTGCGAAGAGGAATGGGACAAAATCCTGTATTCCCAATCAGCATGCATAAAACATTTATTTAATAGCTAACATTAGAATAAAATAATTAACTACAGTGTTTCCTCAAAAATAAGACCCAATCTTTTTCTTTTTGCCTTCAAAAGAGGCAGCAGGTCTTATTTTGGGGGGAGAGTGGTTTCTGTTCCACTCACCTCGCAGCAGCGGCACCAACAACCCTGCCCAGCCAGCCCACTTTTTCTTTACCCGAAGAAGCAGCTTCATTCTGCAGATGAGAATGGAGCTCCACCCTGCATTTTGCAGTGAGAGGCCTTTCCGCAAGGCCTCCGCAACAGAGAACTGAGCTACAGACTGAATCTGTAGCTTGGTTCTTGATTGCAGAGGCTTTCTGGAAAGGCCTCACTGCAAAATGCAGGCCAGGGGATGCCGCAGAAGTGAGGCTGGCGAAGAGGCAGGTGTCAATTCATGGTAGGCCTGGTAACTGGGTACAGGGCATGTGGGGCAGCTCCAACCCCCCACTCCAGCTTGGTTTTTAGGTGTGCGCCTTGCCCCAAAACTAGGGCTTATATTAGGGCCACCCCCCAAAAAAATCAAACTAGGGCTTATTTTCAGGGTAGGCCTTACTTTTGGGGAAACATGTACAACTTGCCCTTTCAGCAGGTACTGATATGTAGCATAGTACCAATGACTAACCAAGCAGAATTTGTGGAGAATATTTGCAATGATTATTGAACGAAGACAATAACAAAAGCCAGAACAATATTTTTATATTTGAAAATTTTCATTATTCATACACATTTCACACAAAAATTCAGAGATATTTTTATTACCCAAGTTCAGCATTAAGTAACATTAAACATTTGTGTGCTACTTAAGAATGTATCAACTGAATTTGATAATATTGCCCTATTATTCTGATGTCACTATAATAAATTGGATATTTATTTTTAAAATGTTTAACTGATTGTAAAATAGTAGCTTTTACCAAGGGACACTCATCTCCAAAGAATGTACTTAAGATCCATAACTTATTTCATCAAAATCCAAATATATATAAAAAATTGAATCAGGAGTGTCCTCAGCATTAGGTGAATATTAAGAATTTTTCCAAGTAAAAAGTTTATTTTTACCCACTATATCAGGAAATTCTCTCCTACCATCTATCCTATGTCACTTATACTATATATTTATCTAGCCAGCTTAATATACATCAAGTGCTGTACAAAATGTGGTACTGACACAATTAAAAAGATTTAACTCTGTACACTGCAATTAATTGTACCCAAACAAGAACTAGATTTAACAAAAAAGCATGTTAAAGGGCTTTGAAGACTTGTCCTAGAACACTTCATCTACATCTGTTCTTTTATCACGGCATTTACTTCGAGCCTTAGTCCGAGCTTTGAATGCTGCAGAGTTGTACAGATGCTATGAAAAAAGGAGAGAAAGTGTAATTATATATCATAATAATCTTAGCCAACATTAAACATTCTCTTGACAACTTTGGGGTTTATTCAATGGATCGATTTTAACATATTTGGCATTAATGCATATAAATTAGAATTTTTTTATTTTGAGCAAATTACATTCCACTCCCGACTTTAAATTTGCTTTTTCTGTACTAAATTCTAACAGATGTTTTCATTCAATAATCCTAAATTAAAGCAAAATTATTAGAATATTATTATCAAGACATCGCTTACAAATGTTGTATATACAAAAGGAGTACTTGGAAAACATGCAGGGGCAGAGTTGACATAGAACTTTTAGGGGGCTTTTCTAGTCAATCTGCAGTCTTCTTGGTAGTAATGCCATTATCTCTTATTTCTAGAATGTTATCATTTTTTAAAAATTCCTGTCAAGCTATGAAGAGTGCTTGCATTAGAACTGTCATACTGCTTCTACCCTGCCTTTAGTTGTGAGGAGGGATGGGGGGGGGGGGTTGGAATGCACAGGTGATTTTATCCGGATGGGAATCAAGGCCACCAGAGAAATATTGTGGTGAACAGAAATGTTCTTCTCATAACAACTGCCTGAGGATTAATTGGACAATATGACCTGATCTGTCAGAGAGGGGAGGGAAATTTTTACTCTTTTAATTATCTTTTTCCTGCCATGTTGCTAGAGCTGATTTTCTATTCTTTAGTGCTGGTATGCTGTATCCAATAAAGTTTTGCATTAGAGATTGGAATGGCTCTGGTTTATTTACTTCGTTGGTATTCTTAGCTGGAAGCTTGACACTAAACCAGCTCTCTTTTCAACTTCAATTTTAACCAAGAGGTCCTAAGCCCCTATGCCCCTTCTGGCAACCTCCAGAGGGGTAGTGAAGACTCAGGAGAAGATGCCCAAGACGGCAGCCAACTAAAGATAGACTGGGATCGATCAGCTGAGGGCAGCTCTGGAACTTAGCCAGCCTTGGCGTGCCCCGAAGTGAAAGAGGAATGGAAGGAGCTGCTACCGACCCTGGAGTGGAGTGAATAGGAGCTGCTACCGACCCTGGAGTGGAGTGGATAGGCTTTCAGCCATCCAGAGCTGGGGAAATGGCAAGATGGAGGGAGGAAGGCAGCTGAAGCCGAATTTCCCTTGTTCTACCCACAGGCTGAATTCACCTGGGAGCAGGAGTGGTGGGAGCGGAGAACCTAAGAATGGGCAGCCTTGAGAAAGCGGTACTTGCCAGTGTGTGGCAGCTTGTCGGTGGAGCAACTGAAGCAGAGGTTCAGCAGCCTGGAAGTCCGCGGGGGAGAACTGGTTTGGAAGCTGGATCCAAGTCTGCTCAAGTTTCAGCACCAACACCAGCTCGTCACTTCAGCCCTCACTGGGAGCGGCAGCCGCCGCTGCTAGAAGGGCGGCCAGCCCACAACCTGGGATTTCCCTGCGGCTCAGTCCCAGCCCAGGCCTGGTGCCCACAGTCCGCGACCAGGATATGCTCCACTACCTGGAGCTATAGGTTGGCGGCTGCCACTGGCTCTGATGTACAATGCTCCACCACTGATGTATCCCTACGGTGTGGTGTGGATGCCGGGGCCTTAGGCTGCCCCAAGGCGACTGCTACCCCCTCTGCTCAAGACCACCTTCGATGGAAACCCAGAGAAGTTGGCGTTCTTCCTCAACCAGGCCTGGGCACACCTAGACCGGCATGGAAGGGATACTCTGACATTGAAGCCCAGGTAGACGCAATCGTGGCCAATCTCGAAGGGGAGGCAGCAGAGGTGGTGACAGCTCTCCATCATAAGGGAGATCCTGAGTTGGCAGACCCAGAGGCATTCCTAGGAGAGCTCAGAAGTTCATCTTGGAATGGCAAGCCCCTTGCACCTGTAAGCAGCTATAAAGCTTCCAGGGTTTTGCGAACTTCTATAGACAGTTCATCCCCTCTTTAGCAAAGATCGTCTTATCAATCACTGAGTTGTTGGAAATGGGGAGAGGGGAAGCCCTGGCCAAATCAGCCCTTGAACTGGATGATGATGTACCAAGTGGCATTCAAAAATTGAAGGGACTGTTTGCGGCTGAACCAGTCCTAAAGCACCCAGACCCAGAGGAACCATTTGTGATCCAGGCAGAGGCCAATGACATGGCTATGGGAGCAGCCCTCCTCCAGAAAAATAAGGAGGGGAACCTGCTACCATGTGTCTACATGTCCCGCAAACTAAATGACACAAAGCAACAGTGGGCCATATGGGAGAAAGAGGCTTTTATGGTGCAATGGGCATTATTGACATGGAGACAATTCCTAGAAGGAAGCAAAGTCCCATTTGTGGTGTGGACTGACCATAAAAATCTGGAAGCCCTAAAGATCCCCTGCAAACCTTTTCCCAAACAAGTCCAATGGGCGCAGTACTTCTTTCAGAACCCAGTTATTGGGAGAGGGGTGATTTCTTTATTCTATATTCCTGCAGATACTGTCATACTCCTGGGAGAGGGGGAAGCTATGGCCTTTACAAATGTATCCTCTCCGCTTTCTTCTATCTGCCTGCTATTTGATATTTCCCTTGCTGCCAGCCTGGGGTTCCCACAGTGGGTTAACACCTGGAGATTGGCTCATTGGAACTGGCCAAATGGATTATTGGGGTGGGGTTTGCCAGTCACTCTTTTAACCTATTGATTTATGCAGGAAACTCTCAGATCCTGCCTTCTATGCCTGCTGTCAACTTCTAATAAAAGTTTCTTTTGGAATGAAGTTGTTTCAGGAATTCTGCTTTCTTGGGAAGAGGGATTGAGGTAGGTCCTTACATTAGGCAGGCTCTGCAATTTTGGTCAGCCAGGAAGGAAAACCCTTACCATGGGGACTGTGCAAATGATGTTGAACCATGGCATGGAGAAGGACGAAGGCAACCTAGGCGGGGAAGCTTCCCCCCAGATTGGCCTAAATGGCGGCAGCTCACATTCCAGTTCCTCTGATGAAACCGTGGTCACTGACGGAATAAGCTGAGGTGGTCGATGGGCGCTGGAAAGAAGGAAGACTGGGACCGGAAAGCCAGAAAAGTGACCCTCAAAAGGGGCAGTCACCAGCTGGGTTGGAAACAGGAGACCAGCCTGCTCTACCCGATTCCTAGAGCAAGCAATCAATATGATGAGGGTCGCTTTCGACTCCCTAAAGGAGAAGGTGGATCCATGCCAGGGCTCAATAACCACGAGCACGGCAGAAGAAGAGTGCATGGAAAGCAAGATTGTGAACCCGGGCCCTTCCATCAGCACCTCGGAGACTGCAGCAGCTGTAGCCACAGCTGCCACCTTAGTGCGAGTCATGCCGGCCGGCGGAGACGGGCACCGGACCAGATGGAGGAAAGGCCACCAGTCCGGACGAAAGTTCCTACCCTTGGGGGTAAAGTACAATGGAGAGACTCAGAAATTAGGGTTCTTCCTGCCTCATGTCCTGAGCTACATGGAAGAATACGGCCGCGATATCCCCAGCGATCACAGGCGGGTGAGAATTGTAACCATGGCTCCGGAGGGAGCGGCTGCCAAGTGGATGGTGACTCTAAATGACGCCGATGTTCCAGAGCTGCGGAACTTCAATCACTTCATGACTGCCCTAAGGAGGAGGTTTGAGGACCTCTTGGTCGACCGGAAGGCTAGGGAACACATAAAAATGGTGAAGCAGGGCCGTCACCCTGTGGCTGAATACACAGAATTCCGAGCTCTAGCAAGCCGACTCAACTGGCCAGAGGAAGTCCTCGTGGGCCATTTTAAAGATGGACTGAACAATGATTTATATTATGCCTGCATTCCCTGGAGGGATCCTGATCGACTCCACAGTTGGTACATCTTGGTCAAAGAAGCCGAAATCGATCGAGCCCACAGACAGCAATATCTGGGATGGTCCCCCTCAGAGGGGGTTCAGGAGCCGGAAAAACCACACCCCACAACGCTGAGATCATCAGCCAATTTCAAGTGCTGGAAGGAGGGATACTGCATAGCCGAATGCCGCTTAAAGAGCCCTGTGTGGAAGCCTGACCAAGCCGTAGGGGGAAACCTGGGAAAACACCATAGCAACTGAAGGAAACGGCCATGAAGAGCGTGGAGGTTGTCAAAGTCCAAATCCCAACTACTAAGGGGGGAGGAACTCCAACTCCGACAGGGAAGCCACCCGAATCTTCTGATAGCAACTGGGAGGACGATCCCCTGGTAAGTGGACCCATTGTGCCCGTCACCAGAACCGTAGAACTGTTTAGCCCAGGGATGCTGGAAAAAGTCTTATTAAGAACCCTGATATACTCAGGCTGTACCCGCTGTCTCATAAGCCCAACCCTGGTAGGGAATTTAGAAATCCTGGTGAGGAGGCTGAAGAAGCCGATTTTATTTGGCCAGTTTAGATGGGTCCATTGCAGGGGGAGTCCCAGCCACCTTCGCCATCCAACTCACCATAGGGGATCACATAGAGACTCTAACTTTTGTGGTAACCCCTGGAATAGAGTTCCCACTTATTTTAGGAATGGTGTGGTTAACGAAATGAAACTCGAGAGTGGAGAACGGGAAAACTGAAATTCCTGAAAGGGAAATACAGCATAAAGGGAGAGAGCTGGGCCCAAAAGGGGAATAGAGGTCCGGAAGGAGTAGCCATGGCAAAAGACAGGAGGCTGGAAGGCATATCTGAGGAATATCAGGATCTAGCGAAGAGAGGTCCGACAAACTACCCCCCATAGACCCACAGACTGCGCCATTGAGATTTTACTGGGAGCAAAGCTACCTAAGCCAAAAATGACTCCTCGGGAGTTGGAGGAGTTACAAAAATTTATAAACAAGAATTTGGCGAGAGCATTTATACAACCAGCAAAGCCCAAAACGGCAGCTCCCATGCTATTCTGTGAGAAAAAGGACGAGTCTCTTCGCCTCTGTGTAGTTTATAGATCTCTGAATGCAGTGAGTGAGAGTAATCTCTATCCACACTCCTCTTAATGATGGACATATTAACACACTTGGCGAAGGGGAAT